AGTAGGTAGTAGGTAGTAGGTAGTAGGTAGTAGGTAGTAGGTAGTAGGTAGTAGGAGCAGCAGCAGCAGCAGTAGCAGTAGCAGTAGCAGTAGCAGTAGCAGTAGCAGTAGCAGTAGGAGTAGGAGTAGGAGTAGTAGTAGTAGTAGTAGTAGTAGTCGTAGTCGTAGTCGTAGTCGTAGCAGCAGCAGCAGCAGCAGCAGCAGTAGTTGCTGTTGTTTGATACATGCATGAATGCAATCTATCCAAGCACCTGCGCAACTTCCTTTTTGTTGACAAGAACGTATTAGAACAAAAGGTTGGCGCTCAGCACCTGCGCAACTGCGTCCACCTCAGTCCCTTGAACTGAGCTCTTCAGACTCCATTGTGATGCTCCAGCTCATCACAAAGCATCCTTTCATGTCCTTCCTCTGGCCATCAATTTCATGGAATGGACCGGGAGAACCAGCCACTCCATCCATCAAGAACGGCTTAGGGTCCGAAAAACTCATCAACATCCACTTTCAAAAAGCTCCTCACTCTCACTCAGAGACTCAGGTGGTCCTTCTTCTACATTTTCTCCGTGGCGGTCTTCATGGTCCATGCCTGCCTGGGTTGGAAGAAGGTCACTCCTGTGCTGGGCATCCCTCGTGGCCACATTGGCAAGGTTGAAATCATTGGCGTCTCGAACGAACTGGCTGTCACCAGTGGTGGGACGGTTGAGAAGTTCAGCATGGATCCAACAGATGCAACTGCCATCATCCTGGCTCTCAAATGCAATTTGAAGGGTCCAAGTTTCCCATCGAAAACCTCATGGTTTCGCGTATAGTGTTTTGGTATGATGGACCTGTCCCATAAAATGAGGTCAGTTCCTGACATATATAATGGGCGATCACGATCACTGACCGATGCTTTTCGGACTTCAAAGTCAGAGGCTTTGTCTAGGTCATGAAGGTTGATGCCCACAAGATGCCCCTGACCCCACCAAAGTTGGGAGTCAGCCTGGTAGACAGAGTGTTCACAGTCAAACATACAAATCCGGTGCTGGCTGGACTAAGGCTATGGCATCATGATTGTGATGGGTTTGGTCTACATCAGCTTCCCTGTCTACGTCATGGCCACCAAGCCCTTCAGTGGCCGCTTGGTTCCAAAATTTGCTGCTGCATCGGTGGTAGCTGTAGACCCTGATAGGAGCTCGTTTGCCATAGTGCTTCAAAAGTCAATATCACTTAGGCACCTTCCATCCAAAGAAACCGAAAGACATGATCACCTCCACGTCTTTCACGTCGTGGGGACCTCTGCATCGCATCCAGACAAAACCCCGGCCGACTTCCAAACCCAAGCACGTGCCCTAGCCTCGGCTTTTCGTTCGCCTTTTCCGCGCGTTTGGGTGTGGAACACTGCCTTTGCCGCTTGGTCTGCGCGGTTCTACCGGAACGGCCAACGGTCGCAGGTTATGAGGACGGCATCCAGACACCTGGGCGCATCGAGCAGTGAACGCCTTTCGTCTGCAGACGCGACACACGGTGGGTGGGATGGTGCGGTGCGGAAGGAGCCGCGCCGATCCATTGGATGGGAAGGTGCCAGCCAGCAGAGTTCCCAGAAGAGTTGGAACCAGAATGGCAGACCCTGGCAGAGCAACTCGACTCGGTGTTTTCTGGTTGGTTGGGATAGCTGGCAATGCGCTCAGACTGGCAGTGAACTTTGTCCCGTTCGGAACTCATATTTTTATTTGACACCTTTTTTGGGAATTATTTTTCACCGTTGGTGGTTTGATAGCTTTCTGTTGGCTTTTGGCTTTTGTCGGCTTTTTGCTTTTTGTGGCTTTTGGCTTTTGGTGGCTTTTGGCTTTTGGCGGCTTTTGGCTTTTCGTGGCTTTTGGCTTTTGGTGGCTTTTGGCTTTTGGCGCCTTATGGTGGCTTTGGCTTTTCGTGGCTTTTTTTTGGCTTGGGCTTTTTCACTGTTGCAAGGAATGTAATATGCCCAAGATAGATCAAGATAATGTTGAATCTAAATTAGTATAATGGGACGGAACAAAAAAAAACAAGTTTTCGCAACATTATTCACACACCCTGATTAGTTTAATGGGTCGGAGTAATATATAAAGTGTTTGCACCCAGTGTTTTTTTGTTTGTTTGTTTGCTTTTCTATTGTTCTGCTATTGCTCACCCTTTAACATCCTTACATAACTCTCCTGAGGTTTGCTTGATTCATGGAATTCTGACCTGAAAGTCGGTTTCAAACACGCTTGTTAAAACTCAACGATTTCATTGCTCCAAACAATTTTTCAAGTGGCTAGTACACAAGCACAGGGTAATTGAATAGTATGAATTGCTCAGGGGGTGGGATTAATAAGCAAACTTGGAGCCCTACTTCACAAAGCGCTGCGCCTGCCACGAAAGGTGCACTTTGAGGTTCACAAAGTTCTGCGCCTGCCACGAAAAGTGCACTTCCAGGTTCACAAAGTGCTGCGCCTGCCGCGAATTCTGCACTTGAAGGTTCACGCAGTGCTGCGCCTGCCACGAAATCTGCATTTCGAGGTTCACGAAGTGCTGTGCCTGCCACAAAATGTGCAACTGAAGGTGCTCAAAGTGCCGTACCTGCCACGGACTCACTGTATGAAAGCGCTGCCAAAAAAATCCTAAAACACACAAAAAAAAAGTATAAACAAATCGTCACCCGTTCTTGAAGCACTAAAGGAGGCATGTTAGTAGGCATGTTTATGTCTAGGTCAGAGATTCCCCAGCCTTGGTCATGGGAGTACACACATGATCGAAGAAGGATGCTGGTTCTTCAGTTACTGAAGAAGCTGGATGACCTCAATCTTTGAATGCTCGACTCGACCGGCCAAACAGATCTGGAAAACTCGCCAGGAAGCCAACTGAGAAAAGCGGCCTCGGCACGCTTTTGTGAGCTGTGCCAGCGGAAAATGCTGATGCCCGCGGCGGATGACCATGGCTGAGTGAGTTTCGCCAAGGCCAGCCTTGATGAGATGGATGTACATTGAGATGTGAAAGAACATGTGGACACATGTGGACACAAGATGCATAAGTTAGACATGTACAATCATTAATATTCATATATCTCTCACTCACCCTCCAGTTGAGCTGCTGTTTGTATTTTTTGTGGTGGGCATCATTTTTGGACGAACCGCTGGGTGACACCGGGCACTCCGCTGGCGCCGAAAGGCACTCGGGGGAGCCATGGGGTGAAGTCGATTCTCTTCCTGCCCAAGTTTTTTGGATGGGTTTCCTCACTAAAATCCCACAGAAGGAACGCTTGGTTAACCTCGAGTGGTTTTTTTTGATCGCATGGATGGTGTAGTTCGAGGTGGAGTTCATTTATTCTCCGGGATCTTCAGCTCGGATCTTCGCCTTCAAGATCTCCTAACTTGACAGATTCACGCAATCGGCTGGAAGGAGATCTAAAAAGACACTTCAATGTTTGCAGATCAATTTTTTGGGGTTTGGTTTCAAATTTGACATGCCGTATATGCAATAGAACACAACCAGGTGTACTTGTTCAGCTAGTTGTGGCTATTACTATATAGAAGAGTTGGAATTGGTTGTTTCATCCAACATCGCCACAATCACCTATAGGAAACATCTGAGGTTCTTGTGGGACAGGCTTCCGTATGTATCTGTATGCCCAAGATTTTGGGACCAATAATCTTCATTCACTCTGCCCATGTCCAAAAGATCAGGAAATCAGAGAGTCCTGTTTGGTGCCGCCATGGTATCACCTCACAGCCCTCTCGTCATCGTCAGGAGCTGTGTCACTGCATGTCCCAAGTATGTCCCAGTGATGTTGGTTCAATTTCGGAGCCCGGACTAGACTAGAGATCTTGTAGCTAAGCTATATTATTGTAAATTCGTTGATATCGCCTGGTGGATGCTGGAAGTCAGGCTGGTTATTGAGACGTTCTCCCCAGCTAATCTTACAAGCTTCAGGTGCTTGAATTTCAGAGAACCGCTGTCTATTTTTCAGGATTTCCCGGAAGTTGACAATCACCGAAACGTAAATGATCAAGACATCCATGGGCGGCTTTGGGCTGTCGGGGAAGTCTCATCAAGGCTTAACGGAGTTCTAGTGAGCTCCAGCACCGCAGGTTTCTGAACCTACCATGCTGGTAGGGGCCTGCAGATCTTCAACCCGATAGCTGGCCAAAGGACATCTCCTGTACAAAACATTACAAAACAAGTCAATACGGCCATCAAACACAGACCGTATTCATGCATTTTCTCGTTTTTCTTGCTATTTTTGGCGCTGTGAAACCACTTTTTAAGGTGTACAGGGCCAACTTCATCGGATTCTACCACCATTTCTTTCGCGCGGCGAACAAAAGAGACATGACATGCACACTGGACACCGGACAGGGCTGGGCTGGGCGCCTGGGTCCATTGTTTCATCTCGGGTGTCTCACTTCTTCTTTTACCCAATAGATCAGGTTAGACAAAGTTTGACATATGTATAATGTATATATATATATAGTATAGTTATGAATCTGAGTTTTTTAGATCACTTCCAGCATTAATCAATTTGACTCTTTGACTGCCACCTTCACTTCTCAGGTTCGGTACGACCGGAGCCACCTTTCGATCGGAGGGTGCCAGTGAATCCGGGAGGACGACGCTGAACCAGTCCTCCTACACCAACACTCGACTCTATATAGACTCGATTGACTGCTTCATAGGGGGTGCTTCATAGCGGCTGCTTTAAAGGTCATCTCTTTTGGCAGTGCCCCCCCCCAATCGGTCGCAACCACACCGTGGTTCAGCCAGCCCTTCAAACCATGGGAAGGTTGACCGGTGTGGCCGGGGTGCGGCATGTTGGACTGGACCGGTCCGATGATGGAAAGCTTGACCTCATCATGGGCGGAGCTCTAAGGATGGATAGGGACGGTGCTGTAGAATCACCGGCGGATTTTGGGGTGCAATGGTCACAGCCAATGGTCACAGCCATGAAAGCATAAACCCAATGATGCCGAAATCAATGAAACATATATAATGAAGCAACATGTATGACATGATGACATGTGCAGATGTGCACCTTCATGTTTTCGCCAGGTTCATGGGTTGTTCTGCATCAAGGCTGACAGATACTTTTGATTATTTTGCATGTGCCATCGGCTGTTCTGGCCCAGCAAGGCACAGGAGAAGGGGACATGGAACGCATTGACGGAAGTAGATTCGCAGGCTTTCACGGCGTTCGATGGAGGGATCTTCAATTTCATCTCACAGACAGTACGATCAACTGTTGTCAAAGCATGAAGAGCAGAAAGCAGGGTAGTTGATTTGATTGCTGCGCAGCTAGCGCTGAGTCATTTTGAATCATTTTCTTGGCTTTTCGATCTCCAAAAGTGGCAACTTCCCGAAGAGATTCTCCACCTTGCCCCTGGTTTTTTGGTTTCTTGGGGGGATGCGCAGACCTTCCACGAAATGACGGTGACGGCATCCAAAGGTGTGGTGATTTCAGTGATTTCCCTCAACTGGGCAGCAGGTTCCAAGCAAAACAGAGGTCAATGAGGCCATGTTGACCCAGATTTTGGCCTCTTAACCAGGTTTTCTCAGGAAATGAAACATGTTAAAAATCGCTTGCTCTTCATAGTCACTTCCCATCCACCTGCAAACGCTTTTCAGTGGCTGTGCAGTATGCAAGCCATGAGAAAGCCCCTCCGTGCCCGCGCACGAGTTCCCACGGCTGCGGCCGCGCGGGGAGGGATCCGCGTACGCGGACTGAGCACCTGCCGGGCGGCTCCTGGCATTGACTACCGAAAGCTGGCGGTGGAAGTGATCCGCGACTCCACGGAGGAACGGCCGACGACTGTCGGGGTGAGCGCCGGTTGAGCGCGCCGGGCGAGCGGCGCGCCGGTCGAGCGCCTGACTGACGCAGCGGGAGTGTGGAACTTTCAGACCCTGAGAGGTCAGTTTGAGCTGGTTTTATTGGAGTTGATCATACACAAACACTAATGATACCAGGATCATCCTGGACATGGGTGCCCTGGCGTTCGACTACCCTACGTAAACAGGTCTCCTACTCCAGGGCACCCAGAGGAAGTGCTAGGTATACTCAATGAAGTTTTCAGGATCAGGTTTGGATCTGGGTCAGACTGGATCTGTAGACTTTTGATCCACCAGGGATGACTTTGTCATGTTCAGGTCCAAGTGACGAACCCGGGTCCTTGAAGTCCGGATGTTCTGTCAACTCTGGGATGGACATGGTGGAGCGCTTTGACACAGACTCGCTGTAAGTGCGCAGTGTCGTGTGTCAAAGAGGAGCTCTCGTGTCCTATCCCAGACACTCCCAATGTATGATAGTATTGAACATGTAGTGTGAAATACATAGTTATATATACTATACATTCTTAGGGTCATAAACGAAACCATACTCCACACAAAACTATACATGGATGCTCTGGGTATCATCCCCACCAGCTGTGCTGCATGTGTAACCCTTCGTGCAATCCAAACGACGCCATGGCCGTCCAGCGTTGTTTGGCCGCCTTTCGCCCGACGCACGACGGCGGCGCCAGGACGAGCGCCAGTGGATGACTTTGATGAACACCCCATCGGTGGCCAGCTATGCCCGGAAGGCCGTCATCGCCAAGGCACGAGACACCCGAACCGGAAGGTGGTGCCGTACTAGTACGCCGTAGAGACGGGCGTTGCAGTAGCCTTATAGTTATTTTCGTTGCCGACATGTTTGGACTGGTGTTCGACTTAGTTGTGCTTGCCCGCATCGACTGGGGTTCATCTTGATCTCCAGGCCAAGCGTGACCCCAACTTTGCCAAGCAGATCGCCTTGGCAGCGGTCACTGGTGCACTGGCCACCCCCAAGCTGTCGACGACGTCGCTACCAGCGGAGCTGCGGGCGAGTAGCGCGCTGCCCACGTGTCCGCCCGCTTTGGCAGAGCCGCGGACGCCGTCCATCTTCGATGAGGAGGAGTCGGACTCGCCACCGCGGAAGGCGGGGAGGGGTTGGTGTTTAGAGGTGCGATTTTGTTGGGACACCGGACACCGGACACCTTAGCATCACCTCAGCCTATTGCAATATATCAGAATGTGACCACATGTGACAGGGGTGAATCAGATGGATTTTGTCTACCCTTTTGACCGTTCAGTGAGCCGCATGTTTTGCGTTCGGGCCGCTTCCAGCAAACTGTGATTAAGACCATGCGGATTTGCTCCTGTTGGAACAATTTCTGGCACACATGGTCACAATTGTCTGTCACATGGGGAAATGGACTAACGGACTTTAGAAACGGATGTTGGTTTGAGCAAGTTAGTTCATGAAACACACGGTACCATTCTGTTTCAAGAAAGGCTTTGACTTTGGGACTTGTGAGCATACCTCTACTTGTTGCCTGATCATGGGTCAGCTTGTGTTTGTGTTCATTTTGGAGGGAGCTTGACGCAGAACCAGCCATGGTCTCTTTCATGAACAAAACGCCCCGAAGACACTCCCCGTGCAGCAAGCTCGCCTGTGTCCGGAAACGTGTCCAACACTCCGCCCAGACTTGAAGGCTCCAAAATGCTCCAGACTTGAAGGACTTCGAACACGATCTGCTCAGGTCCGGCGACGGCTCACCTATAAGCAGGGCTATGACGCCAAGAGCGCGCTCATCGGGGAATCCGCTTTGGGCTGCTTGTCGCTTGGAGAGCGAATAGATCGGTGCTGGGAGCGTGTAATCCCGGTTTCGAATTGAGATATAGTGAGATATCAAATTAAGTATCTAGTACGTCTATATTGTTATATGTTTATTGTTATTCATGTTAGAGTTTATAAAAGAATTGCATATAGTATGTATAAGGTACTCCTTTATTTTGAACAAAGACATTAAGTCAAATAGAAACGGTATATGCAATTCACAATACATATAGTTGCAGCTCATTTCCTACTCGATTCCAATTAGCATTAAGATATGTTAGTAATGTTCAAAATAGATAGAGCTGAATTCTTTATCAATATCCATCAACTCTATTTGATTCTAGTTAAATGTTTCTTATTTTGGATTGCATTAGTATTAGTTAAAGTAAAATTGAATTAGTAAACAACATTTCTCTGTTAAATGTTTAATAGGATTAGAGATACTAAAGATAACATGTGTTTAATATTTTGTTGCTATAATAGTTTAAGATAAATTGCATGTTGAAATCATATGTTCATAGAAATGAACATACTACTCTATAACAATGAAGCCTGATTATGCTGAAATCGTTATTCTTAAGCAATAACTTCATACAATAGAAACAATTAGTATCAGACAATGCAGTTTGATTATCCTATTTGCGTCTCTATACAGCATCATATCGTGCGCATTCTTTATTTTTGAATTCGAGGAGGTAATTGATGTTACTACATCAATTATGTAACATGCAATTTCCTCAACAATCCAGCTCAACATTATTAGGTGCGGTGGCCCGAATGGGTCCCGCAAGTGGTTGACGGCTACAGGAAAGAAGTAGGAGACATGAGTTGACCTGCTGCAGTATCCTGCTGTGTTTTGGGAGGAGAGCATGGTTTGAGAGTTCAGATCAAAATTGCTAGACTAGGGATTAATGAAGTTCATACCAATTCTTGGCAGGTCTTGGGGGTAGTCCTGGTTTGTCATAGATCCTGCTGGTCCAGGTCGGTTTGGATGCCGAAGCATCGCAAGGACGTCCAACGTTCGACCCTGCGTGTCATCGTACCGGCTGGGCCTTCATCGTTCAAAGCACCATGCCGGCCCGGGGGCCGGGCGGGCCTAGCATGCCTCAGTCGACTGAGGAGCTTCGACCTGGCTGCCCACCTCTTGAGCTTCGTGGACCTCATCACGAAGATCTCCGCCCTCAACTGTTCCAGCGGCCTGCGCGAGGTGCCACACCCACCCGGAGCCGCGGTCCGGCGGTCCGCGTGTGCATCGTTCAGCGGGATGGAGTAGGACTCAGCAGATCTCGGGAGCTCACCGTGATGTTTGACCTGTCAGGCAGTCTATTCATTTGTTCTGTTCATGTTTGGTGAGACACACATCGAACAAATCAGGGTCCGACCCCGTTTTGTCTGCCACATGTGTGACTAACATGTATGACTCACAGAGGCATTTTTCTTGGGGGGGCCAAGCTCTTTCATAGAACGTCAATTCACCCGCCTTCTTGGATCTAATCCAAGCAATCCGGAAGGGGCCAAAAACCGTAAACCGACCGAAACTTTGATCCACTGGGTAGGGCTACTGTCCCACACCCCCAAAATCACCCACCCCAGGCAACTTCGAAATGAAGGTAGTTGGACCCCGAGGGCGAGGTTGTTCAACAACAATTGAATGTAGTCCGCGATTTGCTCAGGGGTGATGGTCTATTGTAGCATCTTTTACAATTTCAAGGAATCCCCTTCTAGGGAATCAAAAGGGAAACGGAATTACTATATTCTTTTTCTGGGCCAATCCCCAGTAGTGGAATCATGTTGAAGCCACTGTGACTATTTTGATTGCACATTGTGAGGCAAGTGTCCGACAATCTGTTCAGGTAGAGCCAAAGACCGGTTTCAGGGTCAATGTTTGTTGGGGCCCAAAAGCATCAAATCAGCTAGAGGACAGTCGGACACCTGACTTCCAGTACTGGGAGATGAAAAGGACACATGAAACAACAATACATGGCTCTGTGTTTGCCCCAGAACTTGCTGCACCTCCCCACTCTCCTGGTGCCACTGCCTTCACTCTTTCAGTGGACGGAGTCTCACTCCCTGGTCTTTTCCGCCTGCGGCCAACATGCGGTACCCCCCCCCTGAAACACCAACAAAGCCGGGTCAGCTGTTGCGAAGACCTGTGGTACGGTCCAATGGCTGGTATGGTCCTGTGGTACCTACCGAGGATGGTGCAACGATGTTCCTTTGTTATTGATGCTTATAAGAGTGACTTTTCACCTGACCAAAAGCAGGAAGTTTGGGGAAGACTCCTGAAACAACCATTTGAACGTCCAAGACTCCGCTATAGACAGGGTGGTGAACGTCCCTTCTTGTTGCATTCTGGTTTAGCCCTCCAACAGGTCTATCGTGACAGCTTCGTTGCCCAGAAACCACACTGTTCGGGTTGAAACCAAAGGTCGACCTAGTTTGTCCAATCAAAAGGCCCCCCACATCACCTGGGAATCGACGTTGAGACGTCGACCGATCTCGTTGTGCAGGTCCTGCAGCACCGGAGCGCTTGGGATCCCCTTCGGCGCCCTGACTAGTTCGACGGCAGCCTCACCCTCACTCCGATCCAGTCAGACAAGGGCAGAGAGCTTGGTTCACCTGAACAAACAGACCCCTCACCTGGGGTACCCAACTGGGATAGTCTACTGTAGAGGGTTCTGAAAAACCTTTGTTTGGATAGATCCCGGACGACCTGTCTGAGACTGGCATAGATGCCGCCCAATCCTCTCGCCGGGTCAACTACCCGGCAGAGATGCCAGTCCCAGACAGGTTGTGTCATAGATCCGCTGATGCTTTTTTTGGACCTCTGAAAGGTGCGACTCCAACAACAACTCGATCCGTACTTTTGTAATTACTTTAAAGCTAAAGGTCAATACAATCAAAAAGACATCCGGGTCCGGGATGAGTCAAAGCCACTCAAAACAGAGTTTCGACACCATGTAGCGAACGACCTCCTGGGTAGGTCAAGCAAGGTATCCTGGTGCCATGACCCACAGCCATGCGCCATCATAGGTGTGACACATGTTTTTCCAGGAAAGCTGGTTCTTCAGTCCGTGACCGAACTTGATTGATCCCCTGGTTTGAGGTCACGAAACGGCCGGAAAAAGTCACAAACAGGGACTCCACAAGGGTCACAAACTGAAGAAGCTGCTTTATCAGTTTTTTTTGTATTAAATATAAAATGGATATAGGATGGATGATATGAGTCGTGGACCCCCCCAATCTTTTCTCCCGGCCACCAAACCCCTATTTTTTCAACTTAATGGCTAAACTTAAATGTAAACATAGTCAATGAATGTCAATGACATGAATATCGAGTTTGTTAGTTTCGTTTCGATCCAGCCGCTGACCAAGGATCAGTAAGCCCATCGGTCGAGGAGAGCGGTCTCCAGAGCGGGGTGGTATCGACCGGTCACGATGCTGTTTCGCCTGCGCACTGGGAGATGAATATGGAGAGATGGGAACTTCTGCACTGATGGGAACTTGAGCATTTTTTTTTAGAATCACACAACCTTTTGGAGGATTTTGAATGGTCTCTCTTTCTAGGGAGGGTTGAAGTATCATCGAGATAAAGAACCTATGGATGTTCAAGTGCTTGATAGAATGCACCCCGCCTCTCAAACAGCAGAACCCCCACAAACAAAGTGCGGAGCTTTGCCACGAAGGCTTTTCGTTTGGGGGGCCCGCGGTTTGGTCCGACGGCCACGTGTGGGGCTTTAAAATGGATGGATGTTCATGTTGATCTCTGTCGTCCAAAAAAAACCCACCAGGCTGCGTTGGTGGTTGTGGGGTGACTCATCGATTTCGCCTGCGCACTGGGAGTTGCCGAAGCAAGCCAGTTCTCCAGCGTCCACCAAGCAGCACTCCAGCGTCCACCAATCAGCTGCAGGCACCCCTTGAAACATGTCTAGAGTCTACACCCTACAAACGTCGGTCGATCATCACCAGCTGGGCTTGTAAGCTGGGCTTCTCTTCTTGCCATGGAGCTATGGAGCCCCGAAACAGGACTGCTGCGGCGCTTGAAACAGAAGGATCCCTTGGGCTACTTCACGGAGGAACGTGTCAGGGCCAAGAGGAGCTTCCCCAGAGGCGTCATGGCAGCGCGGTCGAGGGTGTCGGCTGGTCATGGTGGAGGTGCCCGCTGGCTCCGAAAAAAGGGAAGGTTCTGCAGTGCTGGTTTTCAGTCAGAGTAGGCACGGGACTCCGGTGGAATCCGACCTAACACATGGCATGGGACTTTGGGGGGCTTGGGGCGAAGTACCATCGAATTGGCATGAATTTGCAACAACTATCACTGCAGCGTGCTTCTACTATCCCTTTATTTTTGACACAACAAAGCCAGAAAAGACGGGAACCCATGCGGATCATTGGTTTTTAGCTTTTAGCTAGTGACAACAAGGTTGGTATGAACCAGCAGAAAATCCGCCAGAAAGGTGGGGCTTTGTGCAGCAACAAGGACCCTTCTGCAGTTGGAGGCCCAAGAAGGGATCATAAGGCATGGTTTCTAGTCGTTGGTGGGCTCACAACACGGCTCCAAACCGACTTGGATTTTGGATGTTTTGTTGAATGGTTCTCACGATCCTTGGCTGTTTTCGTTGGAGACTAGCTTGTTGCGGCTCTTAAGCCTTTGATGACTGTTTCTGAGGATGGATCAAGAGATTTCGATGGACAGGGCAGGATCAGACATGCACCCGGTTGCCCACTTCCATGTTGGATCGCGTTCTGATTCCCATGCGAACCATCCGGTCTTAATTAATTGGTCGGCTTCAACAAGAAGCTTTCGGCCAACATCGAAGAACAAGACATCCGGGGTTTCCGAAGGCTTCTTCGACATCTCCCAGCTGGAGATCGTCTTGATGGACCCTGAACGGGCCACTTGGAGAAAGGTGCTCGACACCTCGTCTCGACCCCTCATCGACAGGTCTCGACACGACACGGCGCCCGCGGTCCCGGACGGGTCTCATGGATGGAAACGACACCTGGACCATCGGGTACCTGGTTCCAATGGTGGTGTAGGGTAGGTCCAGCCAGGGACGCTCTGGGATGCTCCACTCCGGACGCACTGGCGGGTCCCAGACTGCTGTGACCCGTGGATAGATGTGGATCACCCTGGGGTTCTTCGGTCAATGGTGCCGTAAATTCATGGAATCCAAAGGCCTTTCACCAGGTGTTGCAGCCTATCTAGATGATGACACACATGCACAGCGTCCCCAGGAGCCATAGCCATTTTTAGGGCTGTCATCGACCCCAGCGACGAGGCAGTCGCGTTGGACCCCCCAGTGAACCTAAAACGCGTTCGTCAGACGCGTTCGAACGCATGTTCAACAAGCAGTGCCTTCGAAGCTGTGGGTCAGACCCTCCAGTTGCAAAACAGGTGGGTGAGCGGGTCGAGGCTATGACGGTGATCGGCATCTGGTTGGCTTTCAGGTGACCCTCCCAGCAGTCCCAGCATCCAGTCACGAACATACCCAGGTAGAGATGCCGCAGAGTGTGTCTTGGGCTAAACACGCAGACTCAGACCGCGCGTGCTCTTCGGACGTCTTTTTTGGCGAATTCACGCAACAACACGAGCCCTGTAGCAAGTTTGACAGACATTATCTTGTTCTTATAGAGAAGGGTATCTTTTCATTTAGAAGGTGACTTGGTTTCGCATAGGCTGCATGACCCCCAAAATGGCAGTCCTTTATTACTTCCTTTCTGATCAGCATCGATCGCGGAATGATGTCTACTTTAGTCATGGAGGAACCACTGGAATGAGTTGACCAAGCAACTATACTAGGAAGTCTGTTTTGTTCACAGAAACTACATAGAACTATATATATACCTTCTATGAAGAACATCAGGAGTTTAAACTTTCGACATCCAAAATGGTCTCCAAAGGTATTCATCATCCTCATGCCAAGGGGGGTTCTTGGACCGGGATTCTGCGGTTGCATTGTAGCTGCTTCTTGGGCCACCTGGAACACCGACTCAGTAACTACCCCAAGAATCCGGGCCCGAACCAACAAATAGGATTTTAAGGGCCCAGAGGGTGCGACCCTTGCCATCGAGGGTCCAAGGATTCTTAATTACATGGTAATTAGTTTTCATCAGCTTGTTTAATAATTGGCTGATATTATGCTGCATTCAAATTCACTCCCGACTTTTTGTCCGAGTTGTTTCACAAAGATTTGGCATCATCCGATGCATGATATCCGGCCCCAGCTCTAAATTAATCGACTTGGCCTCCAGGTCCAACTCACATATCATGGGATATTGGGATCTACTGTATATCAATGATCTTTGAAAGTTTTGAGCCTGTGACTGACTGCAACCTTTCAGTCTTGTCAATTCTTTATTCTATTGGGATCTACATTATATATTGGGCTCAGTCTGTGACTTTCCAGTTTCGAACAACGTTTGGACACAGTCCTCGGATTCCAGAAACCTCAATTCTGACTTGGGTGGTGTTCTTTTTACAGCTCGGATCGCTGGATGTTTCGTTTTGGTTTCTTCTTGGACACTCCATGGGACTGGAATATATCAGTATAGTCTATCAGCATCTTCAAGCGGATTAAATGTTTACCGGAGGCATTTAATGCATTTTCAGCGACAAGACATCGCAATCAAAACAACACTATATATTTCAAGGGTTGCACACATGTACTCGGGAAAAGGATGCCATTTGGATGCCACACAACACGGCGAGAAAACACCGCCTTGTCACCATAACATACCATTAAAAAAAAGAAAAACATGCATTAAACAAAAAATGTCCTGAAGAGGCAGCGGTAATAATTTGTGCCGTTTCAAAGATCTATACGTATACCTACATCGATAAACCACCCCGATGTAGAAATTAGCCATACATGGAGTGTCAGTGAGTGAGTCTCACAGTTCCCTCTCGATGACCGGCATCGATCGTGCTTGAGGATACGGAGGATGAAGCTCCCAAACCCTTGCTCTTGTTTCTGGGCGGCGAGGGAAGCGTCACACGTTCGAATGCGTCACATGTTCAACCTTGATTTGGGATCATTGATCCATGACACATAGTCGTTTCAAGTGAGTTGACACCATCAACCAGAGAGATACTGAAGAGTCAAAACCCGGCATGGCGCCCGGCACATGGCAAAGTTCCACTAGGCGGAAGACGCGGCGGTTTTCATTGCCCACAGGGGGGTTTACCTGGGTACCGAACCAATCTTACCAGGAACTACCGATCTTGGAGGACCCAGAGGTACTCAGACACTCCGGATCCATGTATGATCATATATGCCTACATTGACCCCCAACACCACCCCGATGTATATCAATATTCCATACATGGAGCATCTGGGGTATAGTAAATGTGAAATGAGTCCTGTGATAAGTCCTGTGATCTGTGAAGTACCGATTCCACCCGATTCCACGTCGGCCAGGGAACGTCCACTGTAGCCTAGAGCGCAACCCTGGGTTTCCGGCAACCATCCATTGAGTCAACCTTCTTTCATATGGTGGAGTCCTTTGGATCCCGTCCCAGAATTTCAATACTGAAGCAAGTCGTGTGTGCTTGTCCAGGACTATGGCATACTCGCTGATTGTAGAAGAAGGCTGAGAAAAACAAAAAGAGTCCGAACTGCTTGGCAGAATTGAGGTGGCACGTTGTGGAGCCACACAGATCCACTTCCCAGACACGACTAATGGGAATGCCATAGGACTGTCGATCAGTTGGGGTGTTTTCAGGGGTCAATGTAGAAGCATATCTTGCCATACATGTAGTGTGTGAGTGTGTGTGCAAAAAAGATGTTCACTGTCTTCAGAGTAGATGCCACGCTTTCCCTTTGAATCTTTTTGCGGTGGGGATCGAAAAAATCTTACCGCTGCTTCCGAGGACCTTGATTCCAGATCCTTTGGATGAGATGCTGAAGCGTTTCTGGACCACATGACGTGTGTTGACGGGTTGGCTGGCGTGACTGAGGACTGAGGACTGCCTCCAATCTTTTTTACGGACTGTTGGATTTATTCCGAGCACGGATTTTTGCCAGACGAGTGCAGATGCGTATTGTGTATCCAGAGTGCAGACTAGACATTTTTGTTGCGAGCATTTTTTATCACATGTTTTTTAAAGCTGCAGTTAGGGCATCGTTTGGTCATGTCTTCTCATATCTTTTCATGTTTTCTGCAAGCCGAACCAAACCGGGGAAGCATGTGGGCAAGCACCGTTGAATTTAACTACCAGACTACCAGTACAATTGGTTCCCAATGCCACTTTGTTCAACACGGACAACGCACGTGTTCATCCAATTTCATTCACCGTGAGAACTGTTTAGTGTTTCAAATCTGCCTGCAGACTCATGGTCAGAGTCATGATCAGTAAAGGAAGTGCACATTTAGCCTTGTTCTTCCGTAGATAGCCCTTGCTTTGTGTCGTGTCCCAGACCATCCATTGTACATACATTGTGGTGGTGGTTTGCGGGGTAAATGGATGGATCCTGTTTGAGCTTTTGGTTTCACCACACAAAAGGGGCACCACGGCACAGGACTTGGGACGAAAGCCAAGAGTTTCACAGTTTCACCCCTGGGCTTCTTCTTTCTTCATTTGGAACATATAAACCCTGAAGTGGTTTTACGCTCCCCATGGGGGGCTTGATTGCTTCAATCAAGAGTCTCCATTAACAGCCCTGCTCATACATGCTACCCTTCAACCCATGGTTCCTCCATAGTTCTTGGTCGAGCTGCCTCAGGCTTAAAGCACTACTTCACCAAAGTATGTGATCTCACCATTCGGAACATCGAGGATTATCGCACTCGGGCCTGAAAGACAGAATCACTGGGAATGGAGCCTTGTAGAACAACAGATGGAAATGAGTGGCATTTTTCATGGTCATCGGGCGATGAGATAGCCCTTCCTTCCGTTGGGTCCTTCCACTTCCATGTCTTGTGGTGGGGGGGGTTCGGGTCCATCCTTCAGCCACAGCATTGGCATATATATTGGCATGATGGTTCTCTTTCGCATGAGCTTAGAGCTTAGAGCTCCACCATCTGCACGTCGGACCGAAGTCGGAGTCGCTCGTAATGCGCTCGACCCGCTCGTGCAGCACGCGGATGGGTGGAGTACACGTCGACGTGGTCGGAACGGCGGAGTCCAGTCGACCAGAACGTGGATCTCGTCGACGCGACCCGAACTCGGACCCGAACTCGGACCCGAACTCGGAGGGAAAAAGGACTAGAATCCGGAACGGGTCAGGGGTTTGGAGCCTCAAGGCACTTGAAGAGTTTAGAACCGGACTCTTTGCACTGGTTCAGCCGAGACGATGAAGCACCATGGTCTTGGTTGCAGCGCGGTACTGACCAGTGAAGGAGCTCCACCAACCCACCCAGATCCTCCGCCGATCCTGGTCGCCTGCCACCGGTGGTCCGGTCGTCACCGTTCGACCGATGGACACGCCGACGCCTGCGACACCGCAAAAAAAGAGGAGCCGACCAAAAGCCGACTGACCCAGTATATGATCCTTAGAAAATGGGACGTCTGACATGACGTGACCCCTTTTGAAAACAATGGAAACAATGGCAACATAGATGAACAACGGGACATGACCATATGAAAAAAGATTTATTCAACAAATCTGTGGCATAGAGTCCATGCGGTCCCACTGTTTCGCCATGCACCGTCTCTAGGCATGGACTATCGCTTTGTGGAGCTTCGGTGCAGCGAGCTGGAACACTTCCCCAAGATCGAGCACCTCGGTTCGGTCGAGCCCACGGGTTCGGCCGCGGAGGAAGGCACCCGTGGAGGAAGGGACTGGAAGGAGGACCTTTCGGACGAAAAGAGGCGGCACTTCTGTGGGGAGCCACGCAGGATTGTGGATGGGTCAAAGACCGGAAATTCTGTGATTTGTGATTTATGATAGGCCTTTCTCGCTTCTGGAACCGCAAGGTTCCAAGCTTTTTGAGGCTACGGCACGTGGACTCCACCTACCACCTCCATGCCTCACGCCACCTGGGTGGAATGGAGAGGACATGGGAGGATGGTGCAAGAGATGGGGAAACCAGAAGTTGCGTGGGTGTTTGAGCATCCAAGAGCCAGTGCCAAGCTGGACACTTGCAAGACGTCCAAAGCAGCGCAGCTTGGGCCTGCAGCCCCTTTAAAACCTTAGCCTTGGATGATCTTAGATGTACCATCATCATAGTACCTGCAAGTCTGGATCGCAGTGTATGGGACCCTTGGGGATTGCAGAGTTGGGTCGTTACGTCCCAAAAACACGATGGAAACAAGCACCCAAAATGGTCGGTGGATCTCTCCGCCGCTTTTGGTGAAGAAACCGCCGCGTTTGGTGAAGAAACCTCCGCCCCACAGCGATTGAGTTGTCTCTTGCAGTGCATGGTTTGGTCATTGTTTTGGCATAAACACGGAAGCTTATTCCAGGACCCTCCTGTCGGTCGGGTGTCTATTTATAGCCGTTAAGGGGTGTCCGTTAACCACTCCTTGAAGGCCCTGGTTGATAGTTTCTAGGGGTGCTGTGGCCTCTGACACACAAACCGGCCACAGCACCCCCCTAATAAATACTGCTCAACACATTCAGTCAGGTCAGTCCATCATGAGGGCCAAGAGCAACCCAACCTGCTTCGGAAAGGCCGGTTCCTCCCGAATCCTTCGCGGGAAGCATACATATGGATGGTTGCAGAGAAAAAAAAGAAACCACATGTCCTATTATCACATATAATGGTGACCTCAGAGTTATAAATGGACCGTGAATATTAATTACTATTAAGCAAATACACCACAAAAATAGATGGACCTACTAGTTTTTTCTGGACCCTGATTGGCAGCTGGAACCTTGCTGCGTCTTGCCACGGCGAAAAACACAGACCGGCCGTGATGAGCTGGCAGATGCTTCCAAACCTTTCCTTTCATGTCCTTTCCTTTCCTTTTCATGTTCCTTTCATTTCCTTTTCTTTTCTTTTCATGTTCCTTTTATTTCAAATTCAAATCAATATTTTTCTGGGATGTTTCTGGATTTAATATAATTTAGGGTTTGCACTTGATCAAGGCAAAGGGGGGGGTTATTCTGCAAAGGCTGTGAATGTGAAGTATACACGGGCTCGCGATCCGTCGACGTGATGTTCGACCTGGTCGCTGAGGTCATCATCAGCCACCGGAGGTGGATCTGGCACGCGCCCGGGCCATGAATGTGGCGCGCATTCCCACTGGAGCCGCTCCTCTGAGTAGAACGCGGTGAGTCAGGGGCCTTGATTGTGAAGGAAGGAACAGATTCCAAGCATGTCCAACGCGTGCTGCATGGCAATGAAGGACACATTCTGAGTCCTTTGGCAGATTTCTTTTGAACTGTAGGGATTCAAATCAGCAAAAAGAAACCCAGAGCTGGTGGGATCAGCCAAGAACAGGTCGATTTAATGCCGTTCTTCGGCACAGGTTCACTCACCAGTTTGGCAAATTTGTGGATCATATACGATTCACCTTGTGAGGAGCTTACATGATGTATAATCGTTTTGAGATGGGCTGCGTGATTCTGGGATGATGTAGTTGAGGGAAGACAATTTGTTTATGATGAGGTTCTCAATGAAGGTCTTGGCCATTTCCAAATAACCGTGTTGTTGTGCTTTTCTGGGAAAGCTTCCCAGGACCTTTGCCAGTGACCTAACTTGAGATCCTTTGAAGTGAGGTCACCTAGTAGGTCACTTGTTGATCCTGAAGTTCGGTCACTAGCGTTCGCACGGAACGGAATGCCGCCCGGCTCAGGAAACAGAGAAGGCTGTGTCTTCAAGCTGAAACGTTCAGTTACGTTTCGCCATCAAATGAGAACAGTCCAGCCTCAAAGCAAACGCGCTCGCCGACCTCGGCGGCGTCGCGACGTTCGCAGACGTTCCGCTGGTGAAGGCGGTTGAAACACTGCAGGTGGAGATCCTGAACACGAGCCTCACTGAGAGAGAGGCTCTCTTCCTGCAGGACCGCCGTAGCCGACCGAGTGGCCGCCGTCGTCCGCGTGGTCCTCGTCGTGCACGTCCCCGCCCGGTGCGTGGTCGATGCGCTCGAGTCGAGGACGAGGTCCGAAGCGTGGTGAGACGGGTGGGATGCTGAATGAGTTGGGGTGAAACAGATGGAGCGTGGTGAGACACGAGATGGAACACCGAGGGGTGGCTCTGTGTTCAGCTCACGGGAACGGAGACTGTCTTGAACGTGGCTCTATGGTCTTGGCGACCGTCCGGACAGTCACAGTTGTCTGGGAAAACACCGAACATGTCTCGGATCTCCACCTCTCCTGGATAGCCCTGGCCTTAGTTGAGCCACTTTCTCCCGATCTGGTTTCGTCGAGGTTTCGTCGATCGGGAAGACGGTCCACCAGAAAGAAAGGGTTGGAAGATGTTGGAACCCAATATGGCAATGTATTGGCAAGTTGAGATCCTCCACATAGGAAGTGGCTGTTTGGAGGAAATACAGTTTTATTTTTTCCAGGATTGACCTCTTCATTTGTGACGCGAGGAGCACTTGAGTGCCTTCAAGAACGGCACGGACTTCTGCCTTAGCCACTCCATCTATCGTTCCTGGAAGAAAATGGTGGCACGGATGGTCGACTATGTAAGGATGTGCAGGTTCTATGGGAAATGGATGGAAATGGACACAGGTTTCACCTTGCCCTACTCTTTTCTGACAAGGCTCCTGAATTCCCATGCAGTTCCCATGTGCTTTTGAGACTGCAAAAAATATTGAAATAGGTATCATTGATTATCCCTCACCTGAAGATTGCTTGCATCACCAATCCTTGGCAACTTCCGAGACCTTCTTTGGGGGTATAGGCTACGGTATAGGAGAAAGCGTTTGCCCTAATCTGACTTCGTCAAGAAGAATGGTGGGCCCCAAACAATGTAGATGGCAACCACAAGGGCGTATATTACTTTGGCTCATCCCCTGCACCGACCGTACGGGCGTATATTAATACTTTGGCTCATCCCCTGCACCGAGCGTCTGAATATTACCCAATAGATCATTGTTTCTGTTTTTGAAACCCACAACCTAACCAAGCTCCCAAGCTACCTGGACCACCCAAACGTCTTTTTGTAAGAGTTGTCCACTCTAGGTCGGAGGCCTTGGAAATTTTCCAAGAACGACTACAGGACTCGACTGAAACAGACTGGTTTTAGGAAGGTGGCCTTTTCATCTCCACTACCTGGCTTCGTGTGGGGTTGCCCTTCACTTCAGCTGGTGCAGAAGACCAGCCTCGGTCTCCATATTGACTTCTAGAGGGTGTGACATTACCTAGAATATGTATTGAACACCCAAGGCTTCCAACAACCATTGATTGATACAAAGAATACAAAGGACTTTTTCACTACACACCAGGTCAACCATTTAAACATCGTCTTCGAAGTAAGGCGGGCTAGGGAAACAGAGAATATATGCGAACATACCAGAACCCTCCAAGAAGTCACCAATGGAAGCCCACACACTACTGAGAGATCTCCGGACAGGACTTCTTGGTGGTGGTAGTAGTAGTAGTCGTCGGAAGGTCATACAGTATGAGAACATGTATGGTTCACGTTCGTCTCGACCGATCCGTGAGCCAATTGGCACCGAACTGGAACCGATCGAACACGGTCTCCGTCTGCCCTTCTCCGTCCAAAACAGACCGGTGCGGTGCATTGACCCGAACTCGGACCCGAACTCGGAGGGACAATGGACCCAAACCCGGAACGGGTCAGGGCTTTGGAGGGGGTCTGAGGTTTCTCAATCCCTGAATTTCGAGGAACTGGGAAAGGGCTGTGACCGGAGCGTTTGGGTAGACAATTCGTTACATGCACCAGCTTACCCCATGTATGCCCCATCCATGTAGGTAACTTTTGGATGCTTTGGGATTGTTTAACTACCTACATGAGGGGGAAGAACTCTCCGGTTTGGGATATACGGGATGTACATACCATGGGAACTCTCTTGGGATGGTTGTCATTGCTTTTATTCCGTTGTCTATTTTTTGCGACCCAACAACTGCTTTTGGACCGTGTTGGATGGACAACTGAAAAGCGATCCGAGAAAGCTCACGAGCACTCACGACCCTCGACCAAGGCCTGAAAAAAGAAAAAGCACCAGGAAAGCCGCTAGGGACCAATCTAATCCCGAAAAGGAACACATCGAAAACTCATTCCAACCCATTCCTTTTTTTTGCGGCACGTTGTGTGACATCCCAAAAAGCTTGTCACAAAATGCTCAACCATCTCAAAAAAACCGCTAGCAAGTTGCATCGCTACCAGGAGCAAGGACGCTAGTAGCTCATGGCCTTACCGCTAGTCACTAAGAAGCTACTTCACGACTTGCTAAACACTGTTGCCAAAAAACCTGGCAGGTTATGTGCCCAGCCACACGGTACGGAAGAAGTACAAGACCGTGGTGGAACACTTGCGGCGCCGCTTCCCCGCCTGCTTCGGGGACCGGGAGGAGTGCCAAAGCACTCCGCTGCGGTGAGGTGAGCCTGTTGAGTGACCAGTGAAGCAGTGTGGAGAAGCCAAAACAGGTCAAGAGGTCTGGTCCAGGTCGTTCTGAAATTGTCCAGGTCGCCAATAGGCGCAACTTCAACATCCTGCGTGGTTCAACATCTAGTTCCGATTCCTTTGAAAAGGCTAGATCCAGTACTTGTAAGCATGTGCAGAAGGGGCACAATCATTTGATATCATTTGCTTTGGGTTTTAGTTTTTTTTTTTTTTTGGGGGGGTGAAACGACATGTTGATTGTATGATGTATTTGATACGTTTGATTGGTATTGTAAAATTATGACTGACATGTTTGACAATATAGTAATTCTATTATATACTATAATCTAGACATGTTATATGATTCGAATGTTATATAAGTTTAGTTTAATCAATATATGTTTATCTTAATCAATGCAGAAGACCAGATATTTGAAAGGAACAATGCTAGTGTAAATAAACATATTGGAATGTAACTACTATTCACGATTGTATGACACATTGGATAGAACATATGTAACAGAATGCTAATTATCACAGAACTGAATAAGTTGTAATTGCAACATATAACTAAGATAATACAATACTTCTATTAAATTTACGTGTTAAATTAAAGTAATGTCATTGTTTTGTGTTCACATTTTACATATATATATATAAACAACACACAAAACATGTATTGTATGTAAAAGATATACTGTGATGTTAAAGATACAATAGCAGAAGTATGACTTTTGGGATTTAGGTATTTATTCAATATGCTCGATCTTTTGTCGAGACTACGAACAGCAGGTCGTGTGTATATAATGTCCAAAGTTTGCAATATTCCAATGAAAGCAACGATTAGGAGAGACTTTCTACCAACTCCTAGTGAGGGACACAATTTTTTAGGTACGGAAGAATCCAAACTACTTAATATACGCACTACAATGCCTGTGTCACTACACAGGAATCTCCAGAAAAAGACCCAACTATCTTGATTGGTAGTCTTGTTGAAGCTGTCATTGTCGAGACAAATGGATCAACTTCTGATGTCGAGACGTGGGATGCTATTGTCAAGTCTGATGTCGAGAACCCCACTGAATTTACTGTATTGTACCTCTCAAAGAAAAAACAACGGATCTACATTGAACCTGGAAAAGACCAAGGAGCACTTGAAATAGAACGTTTCAATGGTCATGCTTCTAGTCAAAGTCTGTCAAAGTCTGTCAAATCTGGTTCTTCCAAAGTTGACAGTCTTTGATCCAGGACAAGAGCAGGACTGGACTCTCAAGTTTATTCCACAGTAGTTGACCGGAAATGGTGAGAGCTGTACGTACGAAGACTGTCGAGTGGTCTCAAAAGGATCATCTTTCGTTTAGAAGATAATTGGATGGGGTACTCTAGCACCTTTGTAATATAGAGACTTTGTATTTTTGGTAGCTTTAATCTCGATTTTCATGGCAGATAGTTCAGATCTATAGGATCATATTTTGCCTTTGTCAGGTCTTTCATATCACATTGAAGGCCTTCCGATTTGGAAGATTCGCGGGAGGTCCGGCTGAAGCTACCTACATTTGGAAACAAGAGCTGGGATGGAACCAAATACACTGAGAGCAAGTGCCTGATCAATATCTGTATGCAGAACCAGCATTCTCAGGTCTCTACATACCTGGTTAAGTCCTACTACGTAGGAACCTTTGCAGCGTTTTTGCAGTGTATCCGTCACAACCTAAAACCTCCGCCAAAAGAGATGGCCAAATCCGCTGTCGCCTCACCCCAATTGATATGCGTCCTCGCTTTCCCTCAAAGCCTCATAGGCATACAGTAGGTCTCAATAGGTATATACCAGGACCCGACTTGACAGGCCTCAAAAAGACACCATTTTGGAGACAGAGTCGGGCCCAGTAGACCTATATATAGGTATTACATGGGGCATACGACTAGCAACGCACTCCGTCTAGTTCCAATCCAGGAACTCCACTGGGTCTCGCTGTCACTCGCTGAAACAAGACACCTACCTCACGAGCCGGGGGGGGGATGGTCGCAGCCTGCGTGATCCCAATGGAAACTCTTGGAAGACATCACAGTGATCATTTGATGGAAAACAGAAAACACTTGTGACTAAAGCCCAAGCAGTGACTGCATTGTTGATTGTTCCATTGTTAAATCAGAGTCCATGCAACAAGAGCTTCCATAGGGGTCGATGATTTGCATTTGAAATAGATACTGAGAGCGTTCTCAGTGTCAACTTGCAAGAACACAGGGACGTCCAAGAACTACGCAAATATGCAGCAAAATATCGAACACTTGAACTGAACAACTTTTCACCGAGCTCAGTTCCTTGAAACATGTTTCAACATAGTCGTCACCGGCGCCGCGAGCCAGCTGGGACGTCGCGAGACCCGGTTGGACGGAACGGCTTCGTGATGGACCTCGTCAGGGACCTCGTCTTAGTTGTTTAAGATTTGCGACTTCCAGGGTGGCCCAAAGTTTGACTATATATATACATATAACTATAATTATATAGTATAAAAAAAATATATATTGTAAAGTTGAAGAACCATGCGATTGACCTTTCACGAACTGACAGCCGACAGGACAGCAAGGTGGGACGTCACGAGCTCATGTTCCGTGATGTCTCGGTTCGAACCCCGAACCTAGGCCTTGAGCCTCCCGCGAGCCCCAAAAGGTTCGTGTGTGCGCTCATTCCGCGCTTTGCACTGGTAGGCGGAGCCTAAGGTGCTCTGGATCGGCGCGCTGCCATTGACTTTTCGCTTGCGGATTGTTTTTGGTGTCCCCGCCCTGGAGCTGGACAGGTGGTGAACCTTTGGAGTTGGTCGTACAGTGCCCTTCATTGGTTGGTGGCAGTCTGAGGTGATTTTTGGCTCACTATTGTACCGGAATTGTCATTCTCGAGTACTTTGTGAAGGCTGGACACTTCGGAAGTTGCTGAGGTAATTTGGTGCAAGTTTTGTTGGCTCGCAGTATCACCTTTTGATTTTGCACGATTTCGAATTTTACAATGCAGTCAAATGGGCAATCATTGTATGTTGACCCGAAGTCCAACGTTGTGCATTATGACGGTAATCCAAAGTTGGCTGAAGAATATGAAGAGCGGGTATGGCTGGGTTTTCAAACTGTGATGAAGGAAGAGAAAGTGTCCTATGCAGCAAAACTCAAGAACGCATTGCATGGCCGTGCATGGACACTCTGTCACAGGAAACCTGAGATCGCAGCTCAGAAACTCCTTCAGCTGAGTGAATCGGATCCGAGCACAACGACAGGACCACGAGCAGCAGTACAACTGGTGGTAAAAGTTGTGAGGAATGCTTGTGAGAAGGTTGCTCCATTGCTCAAGACCCAGACCTTCGAAGACTACTTCTTTGAGAAAGGTCGAAGAAAGGCATCCGAAAGCATCCAAGACTACATCAGTCGCCGAGAGAATGAATATGAGAAGCTGACAAGTCTGACACAAGGTCATACAAAGTTGTCGACTGATTTGCAAGCCTTTTTCCTACTGAGGAATGCTGGTGTGAGCTCATCGCAACATCGTGCCATCCTGGGTCAAGCAGGGAATGAGTATGATTGGGACAAGATTGTTGAAGCTATGCTCATTCAATTGGACGGTGGTGATGACATCAGCAGCAACAAGGGTTGGAAAGGTGGTTTCAAGTCAAGACAACAAAGCAGCTACAATACAGGTGGCAAAAGAAGCGCATGGGCCTACCCGATTGAAGAGGAGTGGTCAAGCTATGATGGTGAGACTGAGGATGTGTATGCAGTTGATGACTGGTACTATGATGATGAAACTGCTGAAGAAGGAGTCCCCATCTATGAAGTCGAAGAAGACATCCATTTCGACATCGAGGAGATGGAACATGCCGTGGAGGTGATGGCAGTTGATGACCTATCTCTGGAGGAATTGGACATCTTCGCTATGACTGCTCAGAAAATGGGTAAAGGTGCTTCAGAATATGCTCGCAAAAGACAAGCGGTCAGAGATGGAAAGGTCAACAGAGGATATCAACCTAGCACAGTTGGCCACAATCGAACAGCAATTGCATTGGATGGCAAGGTGACTTTCAATGCAGGACAGCTACAAGACAAGTTGCAGCAGATCAAGTCACGGACGCAGTGCTATGACTGTGGACAAAAGGGACACTGGCGTGGTGACAAGTCATGTCCAAAGAGCACGAGTTCATCATCAAGTTCAAAAGGCGGCAAGAAAGGCTCTGGAAAGAAAGGAGGCCGCAAGGGTGGTTTTCTCCAGAGGGCTGGAATGGCAGCAGCGATGCTCGCATCGGCATCAGGACAGCTGCTCGCATCATGCCAAGAAGCCCTGAACTGTTTGAACCTGTCGTGCATGGAGGAGTTCCGTGAGTTTGACATCAAGGATCAAATCCACAGCTGGCCCAAGTTTGAGACCTTTGAGGAGCTGCAGTCATTGTCGCAGGTGGACGCCTTCATGACAAATGAATCCGAGTTGGCAACAGTCCCACACAGTCTGACATTCATGGCAGGAGCCGGACGCGAGACAGTGCCGTCCGGAATGTGTGTTGTTGACACAGCTGCATTGATTGGTTGCGGTGGTGACCGAACATTGGATCGTTTCATTGGAAAGTTTGGAAGCGAGACAACTCTCCAGACATCCAACAAGGTCCTGAAAGGAGTCAATGCTGACGCACCAGTTCTTGTGCAGCATCAGCAGTGGATCGACATTCACATTGCCGGTCAGAAAGGTCGTGTGGCATTACACCGAATTCCCAATTCTGATGTTCCATTGTTGTTGGGCCTTCCACAACTCAAAGAGCTTGGTGCAGTCATCGATCTCACTGCAATGCCAAAGCCGACCATCCAGTTCACATCCATTGGTTCAGAGAAGGTGACCTTGGAGTATGGCAAAGGTGGTCATTTGCTCTTGGACATTGGACACAACAGTGAGAAGAGAAAAGACACTAGGCTGGCAGGTGAGACGGTTGAGGTGTTTCATCAGTTGAAGGCGAAGGACTACAACGTGGAGGCGATCAGGATCATGAAAGGGAAACTTCGAAAGAAAGTCCAACAGATGGCTGAACAGGCCAAAGAACATGGAAGAGCTC